AGCAGGGACACCCCCAACTAGACCAGGTTGCCCAGGGCCTCGTCGAGCCTCTCCTTGAATATCTCCAGGGATGGGGCCTCAACCACCTCCCTGGGCAACCTGTTCCAGTGCTCCACCACCCTCACAGTGAAGAACCCTCTCCTCATCTCCAGTCTAAATCTGTTCCCCTCCAGCTTGAAGCCATTGCCCCTCGTCCTGTCACTGCAGGCCTTTCTAAACAGGCTCTCCCCAGCCTTCCTGTAGGCTCCTTTCAGGTACTGGAAGGCTGCTATTAGGTCTCCCCGGAGCCTCCTCTTCTCCAGGCTGAACAACCCCAGCTCCCTCAGCCTGTCCTCGTAGCAGAGGTGCTCCATCCCCCGATCATCCTCGTGGCCCTCCTCTGGACCCTCTCCATCAGGTCCATGTCCTTTTTATATTGAGGGCTCCAGACCTGCACACAATACTCCAGGTGAGGTCTCACCAGAGCAGAGTAAAGTGGCAGTCTTAGCGGTCCCTGCTGCCCTCTCTGGTTCTAGCCCCTCTGTTTCCCCAGGGGCTGCTGGGATGGTACATGGTGAAGAGCGGGCTGGAAGAGAAGCCAGACTCCTACGACATTCCTCGGGTCAGTCAGTACCGCCTGGCAGCACACCTGGGCTCAGCACTGGTTCTGTTCTCTGCCAGCCTGTGGACGGGGCTGTCTTTGCTGCTTCCGCCACACAAGGTATGAAGTGGTGTGTCACGAGTCGGGTGGGCTCAGAGGGCTGAGGGTGTGATGTGGAGGGTGAGGAAAGGCTGTGAAGGGTGACAGTGCTTCCGTTTTAGTCTCTGTTCCTGGCTCTGATCTGATGATGTGTTACAAAATACCCTTCCTGTAACCTTCTCGGTTATGGGACCTTTTTTTGACTTGTGCTGTTCTGCTCAAACATGATTAGCCTCAGCTTTCTCACAAGCTCAGGCAGGGCTGTGCCTTCGCCAGGATAAATGATTTGTGCCAGTATCTGTCCAGTGGCCACTTCAGTGTCTGCACAGGGTTGGATTTGATTAGTTGTGGTTTTGAGGAACCACTGAAGTGTGACTGTGTGGCGTGGTGGTCTCTAGACTCCCCCTGTAAAAAACACAAGCCAGGCCCTTGGCCCGTGTGTGTGGTGAAGGCTTCTCTTACCTGCTGCAAATAGTGCTTTGCCTTGATCTTTTTTAATTTATTTTATTTTTTTTTATTTTACAGTTACCTGAGACCCATCAGCTCATTTGCTTGAGACATTTTGCTCATGGCACTACAGCTCTCATTTTTCTTACTGCTCTTTCAGGTAAGAGTGTTTCTTACTGTTGTCCCATCTGCAGCTCATTCCTTTCTGCCTTGTTTTTCCCGTGTTCTGGCAGGGACTGTGTGCAACCCCATCACATTCTCCTTGAAAACTTCATTGCTGTCAGGAAGCTGACAGTCAAGAACTTCCCTTACTAGTCTTTCTCGAGCAGGTGGAGATGTGCTTCCCAGCCTGCCCATCGCTGTCTCTGAATATACTTCTGAAAGGAATTCAGGATCAAGCTGAGCTCCTGAGTCGGAGCGGTGCAACCCGGAGTCTCACCTCTGCCACCTCTAGCAGTCTCATTCTCTGCTCTGGAATTGCAGGTGCCTTTGTGGCAGGACTGGATGCTGGCCTTGTGTACAATTCCTTCCCCAAAATGGGGGAGCGCTGGATCCCAGATGATCTCCTTGCCTTCTCCCCCATGCTGAGAAATATCTTTGAGAATCCTACAACTGTGCAGTTTGATCACAGGATCTTGGTAAGTGCCGTCTTCCTGCTGTGTCCGTGCTGCTTCTCAGTTGCCCCCTGCAGCCACGCCGTCCTCTTTGTGCTGGGGCTCTGTCAGCTTGAGTGATACCCAGGGTGTCTGAAGGTCCTGAGAGCGTGTTACTGTTTTGCTTCTGCAGAAAGAGGAAGTTTAGGGCTCTTATCTATTTTCAACGCAGTCTCCTTCCTTAAGGATGTCTTCCTCCTGCTTGAGTTACAGACTTCTGTTTCTGTGAATCTTTTTTTTTTTCCTAACATGAGCTGCAGACCAGGGTAGCCCTCGCTACTGAAATGTCTGGGAAAGTTGTGTGAAATAAAACTTGGAAATCATGGAATCATAGAATTGTCTGGGTTGGAAGGGACCTTTCAGATCATCCAGTCCAACCATCAACCCAACTCTGATAAAACCCATCACTAACCCATGGCTCTAAGCACTATGGCAACCCGGCTTTGAAATCCCTCCAGGGATGGGGCCTCAACCCCTTCCCTGGGCAGCCCATTCCAAGGCTTAAGTACCTTTTCTGTGGAAAAATTCTTCCTAATTTCCAGTCTGAACCAGGTGCAACCTGAGGCCATTTCCTCTTGTCCCATGGCCTGTGACTTGGGAGCAGAGACCGACCCCCCCTGGCTACACCCTCCTTTCAGGGAGTTGGAGAGAGCCAGAAGGTCTCCCCTCAGCCTCCTTTTCTCCAGGCTGAACCCCCCCAGCTCCCTCAGCCTCTCCTCATCAGACTTCTTCTCCAGACCCCTCCCCAGCTCCGTTGCCCTTCTCTGGAGCTTCTCCAGCCCCTCAATGTCTGTTTTTTGTGGTGAGGGGCCCAAAACTGGACCCAGCCCTCGAGGTGGGGCCTCACCAGTGCCCAGGACAGGGGGACCATCACCTCCTGAGTCCTCCTCCCCGCGCTGTTCCTGACCCAGGCCAGGATGCTGGTGGCCTTCTTGGCCACCTGGGCACACTGCTGGCTCCTGTTCACCAACACCCCCAGGTCCTTTTCTGCCAGGCAGCTCCAGCCCCTCTGCCCCCAGCCTGGAGCTGCAGGGGGTTGGTGTGACCCAAAGGCAGGACCCGATATTGAATGCTGCCTCTAGCTCTGCTGAACTTGCTTTACACCAGTAGCACCCTGTGAAGATGGCCAGTTAGAGCAATCCAGGTATCAAACCCCACTGCTGGCCCTGCCAGGGACTAAACCATCACTAAGGCTAAAAAGAAAGATGAAGTGACTTCAAAGAGTGTTCCCGTGGGGTGACCTGCACAGCCAGATTGTGCTTGTGAACCGCAGCTGAGGGGTGAAAATGGGATCAGTTTTCCAGATGGCAGCTTCCACCTTTAGTTGTCAAGGTGACAGATGGGGAGAGGGCAAAAATAATCCCTAATGATGTGAAGAAATGAGGAAAAGCTACTGAAAAGTAAAGCATTAATTGGGAGAAAAATGGGACTCTAGTTAAATTTCAGGGTTGTTAACTTGTGGGCACAAGAGCTCTGGGATTTGGGCATGGCCATTAACGTGTTTCTGCAGTTAAAGAATTTCTGTTCCTGCGTGGGAGGTGCAGCCAAAGGCCGCTGCACCCATTTCCTTTGAAGTTTTCCTGAAGGTTGGCTGTTTCCCTTCCCCTCCGCAGGGCATCTCCTCGTTCACGGCCGTGGCAGCGCTGTTCCTCTTCTCCCGGAGGATCCCGCTCCCTCGCAGGACCAGGATGGCAGTGACTTCCTTACTGGCTGTGGCTTGCATGCAGGTGCTGGCAGTTTTGGTTTGGTTTGATGTTTTTCTCTCTTTCCCTCCCTTTGGTCCTTTGTAGCACGTGGCTACAGAGCTGCCTCCCAGAGCCTGCGGCCGGGCGCTGGAGCTGCTCGCCCCCGGGGCCTCACCCAAGGGCATCGCCTGCTCTGAACGTGAGGGTGGGAAGCCTGGCCGGTGGCCGTGGGGCTCTCCGGGCACCGGGGACCCGTGTCGGTGCCGCAGCCGCTGGCTGACTGGAAGGTCCCAAAGAGTGGTGCTCAATGGATGTACGTCCAGCTGGCGGCCGGTCACTAGTGGTGTGCCTCAGGGCTCAGTGTTGGGACCATTTCTGTTTAACGTCTTTATTGATGATCTCGATAAGGACATAAGGTGTAACATCAGCAAGTTTGCAGATGACACCAAGTTAAGCAGGAGTGTTGACTCCCAGGAGGAGAGGGAAGCTTTGCCAGAGGATCTAGATAGATTGGATCACTGGGCCAATGCCAATGGAATGAGTTTCAACAAGGGCAAGTGCCAGGTCCTGCACTTGAGCCACAACAACCCCCTGCAGCGCTACAGGCTGGGGGAAGTGTGGCTGGAGCTGCCTGGAGGAAAGAGACCTGGGGGTTCTAGTTGACAAACGGCTGAATATGAGCCGGCGTGTGCCCAGGGGGGCAAGAAAGCCAATGGCATCCTGGCTTGTATCAAAAATAGTGTGACCAGCAGAAGTAGGGAGGTGATTGTGCCCCTGTACTCAGCACTGGGGAGGCCATGGTCTCTTCTCACAGGTAATTAGTGACAGAACAAGAGGGAATGTCTTCAAGGTCCAACATGGGAGGTTTAGACTGAACATTAGGAAAGAATTTTTCACCGAAAGAGTGGTCGGGCATTGGAACAGGCTGCCCCGGGAGGGGGTGGAGTCCCCATCCCTGGCTGTGTTTAAGGGCCGTTTAGATGCAGTGCTGAGGGACATGGTGTAGGGGAGGACTGTGTAGAGTAGGGGAGATGGTTGGACTCGATGATCCCAAGGGTCTCTTCCCACCTAGACCATTCTATGATTCTGCCCCTTCTCCCCCCGGCAGGTGGCTCTGGGTGTCAGCACCCTGCTGCTCTACGTCCCCACGCCGCTGGCCGCCACGCACCAGTCGGGCTCCCTGGCGCTGCTCAGCACGGCGCTGTGGCTCATGAGCGAGCTCCGGAGGGTCCCCAAGTAACCGGCCGGAGAGGAAGAGCCCTCCCGGGGAAGGTGGGCGCGGCGGCGGCAGAGACACCCCCCCCATCCCGGGGGCTGCGGGGATGCTCCGTGCCCAGGGAGGAGGCGGCGGCGGGTTTGAGCGCGAACTTTGTAATATAAAGGAGTTTTTACGGCGCGGCTGGTGTCTGGCTGGGTGCCTCCTCCGCCGAGCGAGGTGAGGGGGGGCGGAGGGGGGGCTCTAGCGGCGGGG